CCTGTGTATTGACCGGAAACAACGACAAATAAGTCTAACGGAGGAACAATTCACAAGTTATAACATGAGGTTCAATGTTCTTTGTTCAGTTTCTTGGATGACCTGTTGTTGTTTATATTTTGATTAACATTTTTGCAGTTACAGAATGTAACCCACGTAAAACAAAAATACACCTATACTGGTATATGTTATCATTGTCGCCAAGGGAAATGTTCATGTTGGCGGTGATTTGTCTCTTCATTCGATCTTGTTCTTTTCTAGGATGACAGATAGTACTGTGAAATTGTCGTCATATTCGACTGCAAAGTTGTCAATGAAGAGTAATTTCTCGGCTAGAGCATTCTCGTCAAAATGAAGAACATCTTCGTTTATCAGTTCTTTAAGAAGTTCATCGTTCATTTTTAATGTCAGTGAATCCGTGCTTGTCATTTAAAAGTTTAATGGTAGCCGATAGACCACGCACAACTCACATTGAACTGGTTTCACAGCCATGACTCTTAAAAAGGGTATTATTTTGAACTTTATCAATTTTAACCCCTTTCAACTCAAATATATCATTGTTATGTNTTGTTCAGTTTCTTGGATGATCTGTTCTTGTTTATATTTTGATTAACATTTTTGCAGTTACAGAATGTAACCCACGTAAAACAAAAGTACACCTATACTGGTATATATTATCAATGTCGCCAAGGGAAATGTTCATGTTGGCGGTGATTTGTCTATTCATTCGATCTTGTTCTTTTGTAGGATGACAGATAGAACTGTGAAATTGTCATCATATTCGACTGCAAAGTTGTCAATGAAGAGTAATTTCTCGGCTAGAGCATTCTCGTCAAAATGAAGAACATCTTCGTTTATCAGTTCTTTAAGAAGTTCATCGTTCATCTTTAATGTCAGTGAATCTTGCTTGTCATTTAAAACTTCAATGGTAGCCGATAGACCAAGCAAAACTCACATTGAACTTTCTGGTTTCACAGGCATTACTCTTAAAAGGGGTATTATTTTGAACTTTATCAATTTTAACCCCTTTCAACTCAAGTATATCATTGTTATGTATACTCTGGAAATAATGTACTAAGCTATTCAGTGATGATACTTCAAGCAGCACACATGTACCTTGAGGATGGCTTCTACCATAAATATCCCTTGCATGAGAAACAAATATTTTCAAGCCCATATTGCCATTACAATAGATAGCCACTGCAGTACAGCCTATTGTCAAGACAAAATTGTAGAAATTTTCGGATATAAGTGATTAAAAGGCTCTATCTAAGGAGGTACAGTACTGATATCCTTCTATTGTAGCTTCTTGATGAATAGTACCAGTGNGGTATATATTATCATTGTCGCCAAGGGTAATGTTCATGTTGGCGGTGATTTGTCTCTTCATTCGATCTTGTTCTTTTGTAGGATGACAGATAGTACTGTGAAATTGTCATCATATTCGACGGCAAAGTTGTCAAAAGGGTATTATTTTGAACTTCATCAATTTTAATCCCTTTCAACTCAAATATATCAATATTATGTATACTCTGAAAATAATGTACGTAGCTATTCAGTGATGATACTTCAAGCAGCACACATGTACCTTGAGGATGGCTTCTACCATAAATATCCCTTGCATGAGAATCAAATATTTTCAAGCCCTTATTGCCATTACAATAGATAGCCACTGCAGTACAGCCTATTGTCAAGACAAAAGTGTTGAAATTTTCGGATATACGTGATTGAAAGGCTCTATCTAAGGAGGTACAATACTGATATCCTTCTATTGTAGCTTCTTGATAAATAGTACCAGTATAGGTTTCACTGTATTGAAGTTCATAGTCAGTCTCAAGACATTTAAAAGTGTGGGTAATTCGGTCTGCATTAAAAATGATTGTCTGGTTAACTGAGACAAACTTGAATACAACTGATTTCCAATATTCATTATTGACACCAGATCATTAGCAGAATTGATTCCTTGTTTCTTATTGTAAATCAAAGAGTATAAACCCATTGCAACACATTGTTGTCCTGAACTTTGTCCAAATACCAACACATTAGCTTGGCTATATGGTGCCGTTATTGTTTTGCTAGGGTCAATGTACATTGGAGTAGGACCAGGGTTNGACTCTTAAAAAGGGTATTATTTTGAACTGTATCAATTTTAACCCCTTTCAACTCAAATATATCATTGTTATGTATACTCTGAAAATAATGTACTAAGCTATTCAGTGATGATACTTCAAACAGCACACATGTACCTTGAGGGTGGCTTCTACCATAAATATTCCTTGCATGAGAAACAAATATTTTCAAGCCCATATTGCCATTACAATAGATAGCCACTGTAGTACAGCCTATTGTCAAGACAAAATTGTTGAAATTTTCGGATATAAGTGATTGAAAGGCTCTATCTAAGGAGGTACAGTACTGATATCCTTCTATTGTAGCTTCTTGATGAATAGRACCAGTGTAGGTTTCACTGTATTGAAGTTCATAGTCAGTCTCGAACACATTTAAAAGTGTGGGTAATTCGGTCTGCATTAAAAATGATTGTCTGGTACAACTGATTTCCAATATTCATTATTGACACCAGATCATTAGCAGAATTGATTCCTTGTTTGTTACTGTAAATCAAAGAACACAAACTCACATGGCTGTCCTGAACTTTGCCCAAATACCAACTCATTAGCTTGGCTATATGGTGCCGCTATTGTTTTGCTAGGGTCAACGTAAAAGGAGTAGGACCAGGGTTTTTCTCTATATCTGAACTCAGTTGAAATTTACAATAGTTTGATACGTGTGTCTGACTCTTATAAAGACACATGGGTCTATTACAAGAAAAGCTTGGTAAATACCGAGTTGCTCTATACTTCAATTTAATTATCCTTTGATATACCCTCACAGAACAATTCAACAAATACTTCTTCCCATGTTGTGCAACTTTATTTAATCTTACCCTCTTAGTATGAAGCTTACAAACATTCTTTGTAACTCTTCTAACCTTCACATAACGACGTAGCCAAGAGGACTTCG